CTCGAGACATCCCTCTAGCCCCTGCCACCTTTTAGATTCAGTCTTGCTACACAGCCCTGGATAACTTGGAATGTACTGTAACACCAGGCTGACACTGAATCTGTGGCCACCCTGGTCTTTGATTCTCACATTCTAGGATTACAAATGTATGTCACTACACCTGACCCTGTGATTACAGTTTCTTTTAAAAATTACATTTTGGGGCTGGAGAGATGGCTTCAACAGTTAAGAACACTGACTGTTCTTGCAGAAGATCCGGGTTCGAATCCCAGCACCCACATGGCAGCTAACAACTGTCCGTAACTCCAGTTCCAGGGGATCCAACAGCCTCTTCTGTCCTCCACGGGCATTGCACAACACGGGTGGCACTTACCTACATGCAGGCATAACACTCATACACATAAAAATAATAAAATTTTTAAAAATAAATAAAAATTACATTTTATTAATTTATTTGTGTCTGTGTATGTATGTGCGTACATGCAAAAGTCTGCATGTGGAGGTCAGAGGACAACTCTGTGGAGTCAGTACTTTCCTTCAATCGTGAGGGTCATTGGGATAGAACTCAGGTGGTCAGTAAAAGTATGCACTTTTACGTGCTAAAGCCATATTGTGGGTGGGTTACAAATTTTTTTCATTTTCATTTGTGTATGGTATACATGTGTGTATGCATGCTAGCATGTGTGTGAGCACACATGCATGTATATGTGGAGACCTCAGGTTGATATAAAGAACCATCCTTGATTGCTTGTCACCTTATTCACTGAGGCAGTCTTTCAGTCAAACCCAGAATTCGTGGATATTGCTAGTCCTGCTAGGCAGCTTGCTCTGAGGAAATTCAGTTTCCACCTTCCACCAAGGTTAGCATTACAGACAGGACACTACATCCATTTGACATTTACAAAGGCTCTGGGGTCCTTATGTATGTTTAGCAAGTACTTATCAGAGAGCCATCTTCCCAGTTGTCCATTACAGTATTTATTTATTTATTTATTTATTTATTTATTTATTTATTTGTTGTTTGTTTTTTTGAGACAGGGTCTCCCTGTAACCCCAAGCTGTCCCAGAACTCACTATGTAGATCAGGCTGGCCTTGAACTCAGAGATCAGAGGCAGGCGATCTCTGTGACTTCTACATGCAAAGAAAATAGTCTGACATACAGTGGTTATTAGCCTACTTTGGCTACAGGGAGGCCCTGTCTCAAAAAGATCAGAAAGAAAAAAAAAAAAAAGCAAATCCATTAAAAAAATGAAAGCAAAGAACTTCACACAAATTTACTATTGCCAAGCTGGCCTCAAACCTGAAAAATTTGTGTTTAAACATTAAAAATGGGGCAGGAAAGATGGCTCATTGATTAAGAGCACTTGTTGCTTTTTCAGAGGATCAGAGTTTGGTTCTCAACAAACAGATCAAGCAGTTCACATGCCCTGTAACTCCAGCTCCAGGGGAATTCCTCTTCTGTGGGCACTGGCACACATGTGGCATATACTCATACAGACACTGCCCCTGACATATATCCAAAAATATTTTTTTTAATTGTATGTGTATGAGTGTATTACCTGCATGTGTATGAGTGCACCCGTGTCCTGCAATGCCCACAGAGGTCAGAACAAGGCGCCGGATTCCCCCAGAACTGGAGTTACAGATGGTTGTTAGCCACCATGTGGCTGCTAGGAATCGAACCCTGGTCCTCTGCAAGAGCAGTCAGTGCTCTTAACCACCTCCCGACATATATACAAATTTTAAGAACTAAAAAAAATTAACAGCATTTTAAACAGGGACTGGAGAGATGGCTCAGTGGTTAAGAGCACTGACTGCTCTTCCAGAGGACCTAGATTTGGTTCCCAGCACCCATATGTTGGGTAACAACTGCCTGTAACTCCAGTTCTGGGATCCAACACCCTCTCTGGCCTCCATGGGCACTGCATCCATGTGGTTCACATAAATCACAGGCAAAATATTCATATGCATAAGATAAAAATAAATTTTTAAAATTATGAAAAATTAAGATAATATATTTAAAAATAAAAACAAAACCCAAGAAAATAAAAATAAGAAAAAAATCCTCCTAAATTGTTAGAAATTTATTTGTATAGCAAAAACCTGAGAAACATGAATTTATCACAGCAGAGATTCAAAACCAGAGATCTAGTGGGGTATCTAGGAAAATTCTTGTCATCCCAGCACTCGGAAGGTACAGGTAAGAGGGTACAAGAGTTCAAGTTTAGCCTAGGATGTCTTGTCTCCAAAGCAAATAAACAAGTCCCCACCCAAAACAGATAGATCAGCTCCTTCCACTAACCCTCCCCATACCTAGTTCAATAAATCAAAATGTAAAAAAAAAAAAAAAAAAAAAAAAAAACCCCCCCACTTTTACTACTTTGAGAAATCAGGAAAAGGTTTGTAGGAAAACATATCCTTATATACTGAAATTCACAATAAAATAAAAAATTAATGGAAATTAGTGGGGAAAAAAATTTTAAGTGTGAATAAAGAAAAATTGTCCAATACATAGTTTTTTAAAAATTGACTTTTGAGGGAAAATTAATAAAAAAACCACAAAGCTCAGTTAAATTTTTTTTTTTTTTTTGGTCTTTTTTCGAGACAGGGTCTTCCTGTAGCTCCAACTAGCCTGAAACTCACTATGTAGACCAGGCTGGCCTTGAACTCAGAGATCAGCCTGCCTCTGCGTACTACCCAGCACCAGTTAATCTTTTTATAATTATTTTACTGAATTATTTTCTAGTTTGTATGTCAGTTGACAGTATCTATAACTGCAATTTTGGGTTAAAAAAAAATAGGATGTTCATAAAGAGTACAAGTCCAGGTAAATAGTTCAGTGACAGAGTGTCCGCATAGCATGAACAAGTCCCTGGATTCAATCCAGCATAGTGAAAAGCTGGGGTGTAAGTACATAAATTCTGATTTAAAGGACATGAAATAGGAGCCGGGCATGGTGATGCATGCTTTAATCCCAGCACTCGGAAGGCAGAAGCAGGCGGATCTCTGTGAGTTCGAGGCCAGCCTGGTCTACATAGTGAGTTCTAGGACAGCTGGGGCTACAGGGAGACCCTGTCTCAAAAAGACAAAAAAAAAAAAGATATGAAATATAATGTATATATTTTGCTTACTTCACTTTCAATATAGCAAATATAAAATTAGAGAGTAAGTAGTATATAGATAATATATTCTAAAACAATGCTTATAATTATTGACAGAAAGCCAAATAAAAATAGCATCATCATCACAAGTATTGTGTGCTGTCTTGTTTCCATGGCTCAAACAGATGAAGCTGAATTAGAAAAACTAACTAAAAGTAACTAAAGTAATAATGGCCATAAACACCTTTAGTCCCAGCACTTGGGAGGCAGAGGCAGGTGGATCTCTGTGAGTTCAAGGCCAGCCTGGTCTACATAGTGAGTTCCAGGCCAGCTGGGGCTACAGGGAGACCCTGTCTCCAAAAGAACAAACAAACAAAAAAAGAGTCATGAAAAAGACCATTATTCTAACAGTGGATAGGTAAAGACTAACTGGTCAAAGTCACTAAGAACTAATAATAGATATAAGATGAAGCATATTTCCTTCTTTCATCTATTCTAGGTTTGAATTTTGGGAACTGAGTTTTTCAAAGGGAATAAGCTTATAGAATACATTTTTATAATCTCCAAATAAAAAAATTACCAAGAATGAATGAAATGACTCAGAGTCTGCTGTTCTAGTTAAGGTAGAAGTGCTATGGAAGGGAATCTTTGAAAGGTATTACACAGAGACAAAGTACTCATTATACATCTGTAAACAACAGGAATGGTTGTTCTTGTTTGGAAGTTATTATCTATTAATAGGGTGTTTGTGCTACTTAATCAGAGAAATGACAGCAAGACAATTCTTATCTTAAAAATAACCCAGAGATGGAGAGATAGCTCAGTTGGAAAAGTGCTTGCTACTGATTCCCAGTACCCACATAAAAAGCTGAGCCAGGCTTGGTGGTGCATGCCTTTAATCCCAGCACTTGGGAGGCAGAGGCAGGCGGATCTCTGTGAGTTCAAGGCCAGCATGGGGTCTACATGGTGAGTTCTAGGACAGCTGGTGCTACAGGGAGACCCTGTCTCCAAAACAAAAAACAAACAAACAAAAAGCCTGAGTCAATTACTATAGCTTGAGTAGCTAACTCTGGAATTTAGATTTTTACTAATCTGGTTTCCCCTGCCCATTTTGAAGATAGTCTCTAGAATACTCAAGGGTAAAGAAGTACCAGTCTAACAGGCAAAGAATGGCTGTAAAGTTTGAATTGTTAAATATTATTTATAAAGAAAGTTATACTGTCAAGTATAATGGCACACAATGCTTACTAGTTTAATGCTTTCATAACTATTTAAGAACATTACATAATTTTTGTATTCCATCAACAAATCCTCAGTAGCTATGATCACCATGTATTATCACATAAGGGTGGAGTTCGGGGGCCACTTTCCAGAGGGAAATGGCCAATGCAGAAATAGCCATAGCTGGTAGTGATGGAGCACATCTGCAATCCCAGCACTCAGAAGGATTATGACTTCAAGGCCAGTTTAGGCTACAAAGCTATACCTTATCTCAAGAAATAAACAAATCATCAGTAACATACAAGAAAACGTGGTTAACGAGCACGCGCGCACGCGCGCACACACACACACACACACACACACACACACACACACACACACATACACATACAACTTTAAAGCAAATAGCTGACATTTACCAGTTCCTAGGAGAAGAAAAATAGATTCTTCTTGCCACTAATTTGTTTGAAGAAAACCCCACTGACAAAGGCTGTATTTAGGCTTTTTCCCTCCTCCTAGTACTAGGGACTGAACCCAGGGTCTTACACATGCTAGCATGAACATGTATGTTAGGCCAGGGAGCTATCCCAAGTCATATTCCATTTGTTTTTACTTTGGCAGTTTTCTTTCTTAGAGCAACTATTAACCATTTCCCTCCCTCCCCGCATGGTTCTTACTTGCGCAGCTTCTGCATGTTCTAGCATCTCTTCAAATTCCTGATACTCTTCATCATCTGGTTCAGCACCCGAGAGGCGAGCTGCCCTGGCCATGAAGTATGGCGGCAACTCCCCAATTGCTGTACCGATACCCTATGTGAAAAATCAAAGTACTTAAAATGAAGTTCTGTTGTCAACATAGTGATACTTAATAAATATATCAAATTACATTTTTCTGTACTACAAAAAGTATTTGGGGATACAATGTGTACATATGCTACATAACTGAAAGTTTGAATCCTAATTTTGACCTGTATGCCAGGCAAGGGATATATATATATATATATATATCTCCTTGGCCCCTGGCAGACGGCAGACTCCAATGTAGCAGCTCTCCTTGGGTTTTCTCAGTCCTTCCTTCACTTTTCTTTTTTCTTTCTTTTTTTTTTTTGTGGTTTTTTTGAGACAGGGTCTCCCTGTAGCCCCAGCTGTCCTGGAACTCACTATGTAGACCAGGCTGGCCTTGAACTCACAGAGATCTGCCTGCCTCTGACTCCTGAGTGCTGGGATTAAAGGCGTGCGCCACCACACCCGGCTATTTTCTTTCTTTTTTTAAAAATATTTTATTTATTATTATTTTATATGTATGCATGTATTGCCTGCATGTATGTAAGTGCACCCATGGCATGCAATGCCTGGAGTTACTGACAGTTGTTAGCTACCACGAGGGTGTTAGGATTTAAACCCAGTCTTTTGCAGGAACAGTCAATGTTCTTAACTATTGAGCCACCTCTCCAGCCCCTTTCCTTCACTTTTCTAATATCCAAATGATGTGATAATAAGAAGTCACTATCACTTGGGAAGCCCAGACTGGAAGATTAAAAGTTTGAGGCTGGCTTGGGCTACAGAGTAAAATCTGTCTCAAAAAGTCAAAACAAAACCTACAAAATGAGCAAAAAAACCAAACCAAACACCACCACCACCACCACCACAATCCCTCCAACCATAAAAGTAACCACAAAAATTACCAGTAGCGCTATTATAGTAATATTCTCCAGAAAAATTTCCTGACATTTCAGATGTTGCTTTAATCTCAATCCAGCCTTTTTTGTGGTAAAACTTTTTTTTTTCCCCTTTGGCTTTTTGAGACCTGTAGCTCCAGCTGCTTGGAACTCGCTCTGTAGACCAGGCTGGCCTCGAACTCACAGAGGATCTGCCTGCTGGGATTAAAGGCGTGTGCCACCATGCCCAGCTTTTGTAGTAAAACTAGGAAGCCCCCTCAAAACTCAACATCAGGATGAATAACTTTTTTTTAAAAATATCTTATTTTTATTTTATGTATATGCATGTATCGCCTGCATGTAGGTAAGTGCATCCGTGTTGTGCAATACCCATAGAGGACATAAGAGGCTGTTGGATCCCCCAGAACTGTAGTTATAGACAGCTGTTTGCTGCCATGTGGGTGCTGGGATTCGAACCCGATCTTCTGCAAGAACAGCCAGTGTTCTTAACTGTTGAGCCATCTCTCTAGCCCCAGGCTGAATAACTTTTTTAAAAAATTATTATTTTTATTTTATGTGTATGAGTGTATTACTTGCATGTAGGTTGGTACACTTGTGTTGTGCAATGCCTGTGGAGGTCAGAAGAGGCTGTCAGTTCCCTGGAACTGGAGTTACCAACAGCCATTAGCTGCCATGTGGGCGTTAGGAATTAAACCCGGTCCTCTGCAAGAGCAGCCAGTGTTCTTAACCACTGAGCAATCTCTCTAGCCCCCAGGATGGATAATTTTTACTACAGGAAAAATGTTTAATTTCCTCAGAACACTAAGTGATTGATGTTTCAGTCATATTCTACACTTATGTTTTTGAAGAAAAGTTCTACTCAGATTAGGACATAAAGATGGAAAAAAAAGTATAAGGAATCAGGAACTTGGTTTAGGCTTAAGAGGTCATAATGTGACATGGACATTACCAGAAAAGCTCTCAACTTTGAGCCAGACAAATCTTGTCCACTACTCTGAGTCACAGTGAATGAAGTTTTCAAAAACAAATTTAACTCTTTCAGCTTGTGGTGTCCTATGACTCTGCCTCTGAATACCTTGAAAAGAATGCTTGAGGGGTCTAAAAAGGTGGCTCAGATGTTAAGAGCAGCACATACTGCTTTTGCAGAGGGCCCAACTTCTGAAAAAGTTCCCAACACCCATGTTGGGTGGCTCACAACCAACCTCTTGTAACTTTAATTGACACCGTCTTCTGGCCTCTGTAGGTACCTGCACTCATATGCTCACACACCTATATATATACACATAATTAAAATTAAAATCTTGCCAGGCATGGTGGTACACACCTTTAGCCCCAGCACTTGGGAGGCAGAGGCAGGCAGATTTCTATAAAATAGAGGCCAGCCTGGTATATGTAGTGAGTTTGAGGCCAGCTGGGGTTATAGGGAGACCCTGTCTCAAAAAGACAAAAAACCAAAACTTAAGGAACAAAAAAAAGAGGTCCCTTATCAAATTCGAACATTTTGTGCCCTTAATGTGTGGAATCAGTAGCCTCCATGTATAACTCCACCATCCAGAGGTAAAATTAGTTTTGAAAAAGAACATATTTAAGTGCCTAAAAAGTAAATGTGGTAAAGAGGAGGAGCCGGAGGGACAGAGGGTGAAAGAGAGGACAGATATAAATAAAAGTTGGGTGAAACGCATTTTATCATTTTCTATACTTCTGGGGACCTTTTCCATAATAGAAAGTCAGAAGAAAAGTTCACCACGTTTCAGTTAAAATGTGAACTTCTCTAAGCATAAATGTAAAGTCAAATGCACAGCAGTTCTGGAGGTAATCATAAGACTCAAACTCATGATAAATTTCTTAAAGCTAAATAGGAAGTAGCCTAACAGACTGAAATGAAATCAACAGCCATGTGCTGTCTTACTTGATCACACTGTTATATTTTAATAATGCTTGTTCTTCCTATTAGTAATAAACAAGAACAGTCAGCAAGTCCGTATTCCCTCACCCCAACACACTATATACTAGACACAAAGTTATCTTAAATTAGACACTGAGGACTCATGATTCCACAATTCTTTTTTATGTTTTGAGACAGGGTCCCACAATATAGCATTGGCTGGCCTAGAACTCAAAATGTAGACCAGGCTGCCTCCTGAGGGCTGGGATTTAAAGGTGTGCATCATGATACCTGGCCTTGATTCTACAATTCTTTTTTTTTTTTTTTTTTGTCTTTTTGAGACAGGGTCTCCCTATAGCCCCAGCTGTCCTGGAACTCACTATGTGGACCAGGCTGACCTTGAACTCACAGAGATCTGCCTGCCTCTGCCTCCCCAGTGCTGGGATTAAAGGCATGCGTCACCATGCCCAGCCGATTCCACAATTCTTAGAAATAATTTTTTAGGGTTAGGGCTATAGTTTCATTGGTAGGGAACTTGCTTAGCATGTATGAAACCTTGAGTTCCACCCCCAGCAGAGCATAACCTAGTGCATGTCTGTAATTCTAGAATTTAGGAAGTAGAGGCAGGAAGATAAGAAGTTCAAGGTCATCCTTGGCTATATGTCAAGTTCAAGGCCAGTATGGGCTACATGAGACCTTATCTCAATAATACTTTTCTAAGCCTTATTCTTTTTTTTTTTTTTTTTTTTTTTTTTTTTTCTTTTTGAAGCAGGGTCTCCTTGTAGCCCCAGCTGTCCTGAAACTCACTATGTAGAACAGGCTGGCCTTGAACTCGCAGAGATTCGCCTGCCTCTTCCTCTCCAGTGCTGTGTTTAAAGGCATGCACCACCACACCTAGCTGAGAAATCACTTCTGAATGGATCCAGAATTTCTTTTTCAGATGACAAAATTTTAGAAATGAATATTGAATATATTTACACAAAATTGTAACTGTACTTCAGTGCCACTGAACTACATGACTAAAATGGGAAGCTTTGCTATGCATATTTTGCTATAACAATAATAAAAAGAACTTAAAAGGTGAGCTTTCTCTCCAAAGTTATCACATACACTCCTCTCTCCTGCTCTGACATCAGCCCCAACCTCACCACACCCCCTTTACTCCACTATCCTCAGATCTCAACTGACTCCAGAGTGCTGGGATTAAAGGTGTACATACACTATCATCATGCCTGGTATAATGTAATATTGTCAATGACTACCTCTACTTACTACTTAACAGGATGAAGTGCATTCAGTGACATGCCCTAGCAATATTCCATTGTGTGTATATACATTTTATTTATTCATTCATCTATTGAGGATAATGGATTGTTATCCCATTTTTCACTATTGTTAATAATGCTGTTAACAGTCAAGTACAAGTCTCTGTGACTCTATTTTTATTGCTTTTTTGTATTTATGTAGATGTGGAGTTAGAAGAGAATTGTATGACTATTTTCTATTTATTTCTCTGCCACTCTGTTGTCCACGGCAACTAACAACTTTACATTTCTGCCATCAATTCATGAATTTCTCTGCATTCTATAAAATTAGGTAAACTGCAAGAATCAAGACCACACATTCTAAACCAGATTTTCCAAATTTTGGAATTGTTAACATTTTAAGAGCCCATGCCATTAATCATGTACAATTCATCAACATTCACTGTATTTATAAATGTTATCCAATTATCACTATTTCTTTTCTTTTCTTTTTTTTTTTTTTGGTCTTTTTGAGACAGGGTCTCTCTGTTGCCCCAGCTGTCCTGGAACTCACCATGGAGGCCAGGCTGGCCTTGAACTCACAGAGATCTGCGTGCCTCTGCCTCCCGAGTGCTGGGATTAAAGGCATGCGCTACCACGCCCGGCCATACTAAGGCTTTTATACAACAAAAGATAGTTCCAAAGAGGGAAAGAAGAAAATAAAAATAAACATTAGACAAATTAGTCAGTGTTTACTGATAGTCCTCTAGTATGTGTAAAGCCAGGTGCTGATTGCTGGGTATACATTTAAGGTAGAGTCTATATTTTTTAGTAATTTGTATTTGGGAAAGTAAATCATTACCATCAGGATGATTTAAGGCATGCAACACGCTTGGCTAAAGAAGCACTTCAGACAAGAGGCACTATAGGAATTTGAAGGCCATTATCACTGCATGTCCTGATGGATGCTTTCTTTTTGGCATTAGTGTTAATCCAGCCACATAAGCAATTTTTGAAAGAACAAAATTATGGCATTAACAAAAAACTCTGTGTGTGCATGTGTGTCCATGCAAGCCCAAGTGTGTATGTAGCTTCTTTTTCAGCATATTCCAAATAGCTTCTGTTGTTCTAATACTAATTTTTCCTAATAATGTCATCATACAACTAATATATTGGTTTTCAGTGTTTATAAAAGAGCCAACAGGAAACACGACAACTCTTCCTGTCTTTAATAATCAACAAATTAAACATGTGGCATTTCCTTTATAATTCTTTCAAAGCAAAACATAACTGCTGGACTGAGGATGTAGCCAGTGGCGGAGTGCTTGCATTTAGTAAGTTCCAGACTCAGGGCTTGATCCAGACAGAACCAGGCAGAAGATACGGAGAGGAGTGCTAATACATCACTTTAAAACTGCTCTTCTAAGGCATGATATCAAGGATTGTTTTAATGACCTAAGATTTAATTATTTGTGTGTGTCCATGTGTGTCTGCGTGTACATAAATGCCACAGTGCAGGTGTGGAGGTTAGAGGACAACATGTGGGAGTCTTTTCTCTCCTTCTACTAAGTAGGTTCTGGGAATTCAAGTCAGGATGTCAGGCTTGGCAGCAGATGCCTTTACAGTGGAGCCATCTCATTGGCCCCTGAGTTAGATTTTTTTTTTTGGACACATGTCTCCCTGTAGCCCCAGCTAGCCTGGAACACCCTATGTAGACCAGGCTGGCTTCCATCTCACAGAGATCTGCCTGCCTCCACCTCCCAAGCACTAGGATTAAAGGCCCTTGCCACCATACCAGCTTCAAGTTAAGATTTTTATTTAACTATTTATTTATTTTTATTTTATATGTATGAGTGTTATGCTTGCATGTGTGTTAAGTGCACCGTGTCATACTGTGCCCACAGAGGAGAGAAGAGGGCATCGGATTCCCTGGAACTGGAGTTATAGACAGTTGTTAGCTGCCATGTGGGTGCTGGGATTCAAACCTGGGTCTTCTGCAAGAATAGCCAGTGCTCTTAACCGCTAAGACATCTCTCCAAAAGTAGTACAGTTCATCCTTTATATTCTTTTTCCCTGATTTTGCCTACTTGGTCTTAGTTATTTTGTGGTTTCACATCTTTCTTATAAATGTCATCATAGATACGAGACACCTACAAGGGCCCTTTGCCTTGCTAGTAGATGGCAAGTGGTTACCTTTATTGGCTAGGCATGTCTGGATCACAGTCTAAAAGTTACAGCATAGTATCAAGATGGTAAGGCTAGTTTTAGGCAATCATGAAAACACATCTTACCCACATGCAGGCCTCAATTCTAACTTTTGAGATGATACTCCACAAAGACACGGCTCCTTCAGTGCCTTCTTCATTTGGACAAATAATCTGGTCAGGATAGGGTGGCTCAGGGAAATTAACTGAATTGCACTCATAAGCAGCTAATGTAACTGAAGCTATATGTGGGCCCTAGAAAACAAATGGAAGAAAACTGTTGAGAAATATTAATGCAAATGGAATTATTGATACATGTTCTTTCAATGATATTAATCAACTACATATTACAAGGAAAACACTGCTTTTAGAGAATTAGATTCTAATTCTAAACACACACTTCAAGACGCAGTTAGCAATTTGATAAAATAATCTTCCCTACTCACTGTAACTCTTTTCCTGAATCCCACCTCTAGGCAGCCTATGTTTTCTGACTTGATTTTTATCTTATTTATCTGTAATTAATAATTATTTTTCACAATGTTATCCTGGTTAAAAAAACTTTCCAAGTCCCTGTTCTTTTAGGTATAATTTGAGAATATCACCTACCTTTTCCAAAGTGAGATCCTAAAGCAAAGATAAAACTGTGTAACCAGTTATCAGTGAGTTCTTCTTTTAAAATAGTTTTTCCCCCTATAGCAATCTTCGTAATATTTTGCCCTTTTATTATGAAATATTACAAATAATAAACATATAAATTAAACTGTATTAATGTCTAAACATGTGATAAAGTCTTAAATACAACGATTCCTAAATGTACATAATGAGGAGTCTATATAAAATTCAACCACAGAATTGGTAAACAGAGGGGCTAGCATAGGTTAGGAGATAAAAGTGCTTGCCGTGCAGGCCTGAAAACCTGAGCTCAATTTCTGGAATGGACGTAAAGGTGGAAGGAGAGACTGACTCCACAAAATTGCCCTCTGCTCTCCATACACCTGCTGTGGTAAGCACACTCACATACACACATCAGACATATATACACACATACTCTAATAAGAAATAAAGTAAATAAATATAAATTTCTTAGCCCTCTAAACACAAATTGATAGTTGTCCATTAGTATATAGTATGTAGTCACCATTAACTGTTATAAGAAAAATACTTTATTTATAAACACACACAGATTTTGTTATTGACTATATGAATATTTCTGAATATGAAGGTTTCTATTAAAAGATTTTCCTACTGACTTTTTATAAATGAGTCAGACCTAAAGAAAACTGGTCACCTTGAATAAAAGCCGCTTAATATCAGAGAGTTAGGGCCAGGCTTGGTGGCATACACTTTTAATCCCATCACTTGGGAGGCAGAGGCAGGAGGGTCTCTGAGTTCTAGACCAGCTTGGTCTACATAGTGAGACAGGGTCAGCCAGCACTGCATAGTGAGATCCTGTCTCAAAAAAAAGAAAAAGCCAGGTGTAGTGGTGCATGCCTTTGATCCCAGCACTTGGCAGGCAGAGGCAGGAGGATCTGTGTGAGTTGGAAGCCAGCCTTGTCTACATGGTGAGTTCCAGTCTACCTGGGAGACCCTGTCTCAAAAAGACAAAAGAAAGTGCGGGGAGATGGCTCAGTAGTTAAAAGGGGATCCAATGCCCTCTTCTGACTCCATGGGCATTGCGTGATATGGGTGAACTTACACACATGCAAGCAACACACTCATACACATGAAAAAAAAATCATAGTAAAAGAATTTGTGATTCAAGAGCTGGGTGTGGTAGCAGAAGCCTGGTCTACATTGCAAGTTCCAGGCCAGCTGGGGCCACAGTGAGACCCTGTCTCAAAAAAGACTTTCAACCCCTCCCCCAAAAACAAAAAAACACATTTGTGGTTCAAAACCCAAACAGATAAGATGTAGTGATGAGAAATAAAACAACAAAGGCCAGTGAGATGATTCAGAGGGTAAAGGAGCTTATCACTAAGCCTGATACCCTGAGTTCCATCTCAAGAACCCACATGGTAGAAGGAGGGAACTGATTCCCACAAACTGTCCTCTGATTTCCACATGTGCACTGAGATACATTCTAAATAATAAATTTTTAAAAATTTGCAGAAATTCTACCTTTTACAAAGATAACAATTTTTTTGTATAAGGATAATATGTAAAAGGAAGATATTTAAAAATCTAGTCTTTGATCCTTTTTCTTAGATTTTAATTCTTGGAAATTCTTAGATGTTAGTGTTTAAAATATTTAAAGATTTAAAAAATATTTATTTTGGGGGCTGGAGAGATGGCTCAGTGGATAAGAAACTGACTGTTCTTGCAGAAGACCTGGGTTCGAATCCCAGCACCCACATGGCAGCTAACAACTGTCCATAACTCCAGTTCCAGGGGATCTGACAGCCTCTTTTGTCCCCCACAGGCATTGCACAACATGGGTGTACTTACCTACATGCAGGCAATACATGCATTGACATAAAATAAAAATAATAAATTTTAAAAACATATTTTAAAGTTTGTGTGTGTGTATGTGTGTGTGTGTGTGTCTGGGTGCCCAGACAGGCCAAAGGTGTGGGATCTCCCTAGAGCTTGAGTGATAGATGGTTGTGAGCCATCTGGTATGGGTGCTGTTAATTAAAATCAGGTCCTCTGCAAGAACAGTACACACTTAACTACTGAGCTATCTCTCCAGTCCTAAAAAAAGAATAGACTATTCAGGTTTTTTTTTTTTTCCAAAAAGGAATTATCTATTCTTTGATATGAATACAATTTATTTAGATCATAACTACCCCCTATCCCCTCCAACTCCTGTAGGGCATCCTCCTATTCAGGTTTTTGAAAAGTATGATTAGCCATTACGCTGGATAGCTTTAGATGTCAATTTGATACACCTGGGTTGAGGAAGCCTCAACTGGTGAATTGCTTCCATTGGACTGGCCTGTGGCCATGTCTGTGGGGCATCTTCTTGATTACTGAGTGGTGTGGGAGGGCCCAGTCCACTGCAGGTGGTGCCACCAATGGGCAGGTAGGCCCATGTTGTTTAAGAAAGCAGGTTAAGCAGGGGCCCTGGGGTCCATCTTCAGCATGAAGTGGGTGTGGAGGTTTATGCCTGCAATTCCAGCAAGCACCCCAAGGTACAAGCAGGAACATCAGAAGTTCAAGATTATCTCTGGCTACATAGCAAGATCCAGAACATCCTGGGATATATCAGCCCTTTCTAAAAAAAAGTTCATTCACTCAAAAGTGATATATACTTTCCATAACCACACTATTAAGTCATGATTACTCAGCCTTAGAGGCAGACATGGTGGTTCCCAGGCAAAATGAAGAATGCTAACAACTCCATTTCCAGCCTTGACATTTTATATTAGACTATATTTACTGATAGGAAACCTTATAGTTCTTATAAACTTGACAGCTTAATTGTTCCTAAATGTAATCAACTGGAATGAAATAAGTTTATATATATATATATAAAAAAATCGAAGTAAAAACAAAATAAAATTTCTTTGAAAAAAATAATTTTAAACATTACACATACTCAAATCACTGCTATATTCCTTTTGTGGTGCTAGGATTGAACCCATGGCTCCACATATGCTAGGCAAGTCTCTATCACTGTCCTAACTATATACTCCCTGCCCTGAAACTATTTTTAAAGTATTTTTTATAAAAAGAACAGGCATCATTATAATGCACAACATATGAAAGTC